TTAATTGCCTGGCTTTCAACTGAAATTCTGAGGGGCTGATTGCATTTCAAAAGGCAGAATTCAGTCTGGCTCTTAACACTGTGATAGAATATCACCTCTTAGAGCAGCCCCTCTTACTCAGGTATGAGAGCTCAAGAGGCTGTTTACATTGAAAAGAAGAAGCTTTAACGCACGTGTGTCTAAGAGGCGATTTGTCTTCACAGAATACAACAGTTCTACCAAATACCACTTCATCTCTAAGCTATTTGTGCGCAGTTTTATTTATCTGTGACATATCAGAACAAGTCCTTTCTGCGATTCTATTTGATGTGCCGACTATCAAAGATGGGAAGCAAAAATAAATGGTGACGAACGACTTGAGTGCTAGCGAAGAGAGCAGGAGGAAGGGGAGCAAAGGCTCTGGCCCACATAATATTTTTGTTCAGTGCTCTGATCAAGCAGTCGGCATGTCACTGCAGCAAAGTGAATAGATTAACTTTTAAATATACTGTGGTCTCGGGAGCCCCTTGCCCTCAGAGACGCATCTTCTCTGCAAGAGAAAACTGATCAACACCTCCATATCTGCTTTTTAAACTCTTTTGCTCCCCCCTACAGTTCCCAGGTTCTTCATATTGTGGAGTTCCCCCCCCCCCCCTGTAATGATTAACCAAGAAATATTATTTTTGAAATGTAGCAGGGTTTTTTAATCAGTGGGGTATGCTGGAGGATCGTGGTTCTGATAAGCCTTTAATTTGTCAGAGCATTTCATATTCCATTGCTGTTAATCTCTAAGTATTCTTTTAGATTGTCTGCTTGAATCTGAGGATTGATTTGACTGAGTGCTACCAGGGCAAGAGTGTGTGTGTGTGTGTGTGTGTGTGTGTGTGTGTGTGTGTGTGAGAGAACACTGGTTGATATGATATGGGGTTTGCTAGGAGATGAAGATCTTTAGCCTGGAGGGGGCACTCTATACCTCCCGAAGAAAAACAGCAATCTTGTGTTTCAACAGTATGACATTGAAGGATACCAGATGATTCATTAGAATGGTTGGCAGCACAGTTTGTGCTTTTTTGTTTTGACTCTCTGGCGTGTGTGTTTTCTGTGTGGTGTCACTCCATGTGCCTTGGACCTGGGCCACTTGCACGCTCTGGGAGAGGCTCAGGGCGCTCTGGCAGCTTTTTCTGCTTGCTTTGGAATTTGGAGGCCTGAGAGGACCCCAATCCATCATCCCCACATCTCTCTCTCCTCTCTCTTCCTGGCCTCCCTTCCTTGCCCCGGCCTCACTACAGCTCATTAGCGCCCCGCTAGCTGTTGTGACAACTCATCATATAATGACATAAAGCAGAGAGACTGAGAGGCTGTATCCCCTCGCCCAGCCACCCCCTGGGCCTGCAAGGTCGCCACCTTCACATTTAGGGCTCAAATTGGCCCTGCGAGGTGCCACCAGGCGGAAATGCAAGGCCAACAGCTTTTTCCTGTCCGGCCTGCACCTCTCTCCCTCCCTCCCTTTGTCTCACTCTGTCCTGCTGTCACTTTCTCACCCCCTCTGCCTTCTCTTGAACCCCGCTCTCCCTCCCCAGAGGTCTGACTTGAAGCAGCTCATTCATTTGTGCACTTCGAAAAGGCTCTTTTCACACGGTGGCAGAGCAGCATTTCTCACCAGCTAGTAAAGGAAATATTTTACATTTTGAGATAGTGTGCGGTGATACCAGCACTGCAGCTTGTGAAATGAATCTAACACTTGCGGAGTTAGATGTTTTGAGACCACAAAATAGCTGTGTTTGTTAGTTTTAACTAATAGAGGGTGATCATGATGACATAAAAAATGAAAAACAAACGCATATGAGCATTTGAGCCTCGCAGCTGGAAACAGAAGAATAGAATAGAATAAATAGAGCCAAGGCAATATCAATAACATAACCAGAGGCGGCAACTCCTGCTTCTGTTTGTGTCTGCTGTATTTAAGTGTGCTGCCTGCACTTCACAGCGCTGGCCTTCCTCAGCAGCAGGCACTGTATGTGTCCTGGACGTGGAAAGAGTCAATGTGTTCATTGATGTTCATACAAGAGTGTGCTCTTTTTCTGCAGGGCCTTTGGAATGCAACATCTCTTTTTGAGGCTTGAATCTGGTCATCATGACTACAGAGCGGTGTATCTGTTTGTCTTCTGCTATATTTGTTTGTTGTAATGACGGAGGTGGTGGAAAGGATGCAAGTCAGCGGGGGTGTAGGGGCAGGAAATGTTCTTTCTTTTTCTCTGGCTTTTGTGGAGCAGCGAGAGAGTAAAGCCTCCCACGTTGCCTGCTTTTGTTTCTCGCCGCTCTATGGGCTGAAGCACCCAGCAGCCTGCCAGACGAGTCCCGGGCTTGTATTGTCCCACGGTGGCCACAGGGCAGGTGCTGGGCCTCCTTTCCGCAGGGACCACCGGGTGCTGCCTTGACGTCAGCGGGAGACAAAGTGGATGCTACTGCGTGTGCGATGATCACATGGCATGTGGAGGGAGCAGGTGAGCTGATTGAAGACATCAGGCCACAGGAAGTCCACATCAGATAACTGACTATATATGCATTGGGTGATAAACACTGTGGGTGTGAGTTTCACTGATGACAATGGCAAGATTTCCTGAGTTTTCACCCATGTCAGCATGTATAGAGATAGAACTCAAAGGAAAGACCTCTAAAGGAATGTAAAAAGGCCGAAAGGAGGATGATAATTCATTAAACGGCTGCTTTATTGGAAAGCAGCAAAAGCCACCAACATACTTACCAAATATGTTCTTTTCTTGTCTTCACATCCAGCCACTGTCTGTAGCGGACTGGAGGCAGCAGCCAGCCTGGCACGTTGCTATTTGCCTCACTCTGGGCTTTTTTCAGGGGGGAAAAAAAGAGCACACTCTTAGACCACAAGTGACTATGATGTAAATCGTCTGGCTTCTAGCTCTCCCTGTCTCTCTCTCTCAGTCCCATACACACCCTCTCTAACACCCTCTCTAAATGTGGACTCAGTGGATGGGCATTTTGAACTGTCTTCTCAATGGCTGGGGCCCCTGGACAAAAGAACTCATTTAAATGGCCACTAAAGCTTTTCAGTGCAGAGAGATGAAGAATTGACAACATTCTTTCACATCATTACCCGAGGGAGGAGTGGGGAGTCGTGAAGGAGGAGGCTAGGAGGTGAGGACAAGAGAAAAAGAGGGAGCGAGAGAGAGAGAAAGTGAGTGGAAGACAGGGGCCATCCTCTAGCATTCAGCTACCGACTCGTCAGCTGCATTTGGCAGCTGTCATAACCCCCCATCCTGATTGTTTTTCTACCAGTTTTTCTCTTTTTCATCCCTCTTTTCTACATGTAAAGATCAGACCAGGAGCCTGTACGCATCGAGGAGCGCCTTGGTTTGTGTTTCTTTTTAACGAATCCCATTCCACCTTCCGCCCCCTCCACCCCTGACACACACAAACACATATACACACCCACAGCCCCTCGCTCCTTCTCTCCTCCTCTCCTCCGTAGCCTTTTCAGCTCAGGGCTGTGAATGAGTCCCAGGAGTCTCTGTGCCTCCCTGGAGTTCTGCTGGGGTTCATTAATCTTTCATTGGGACCATGGCAATAGGGAAGCCCCCACCCCCCCCCCCACTCTCTGCTCCCCCGCCACTACAGAATAGAGGTCTAGATGGCCAGGCTTGTACCATACAGATGGACAGCTTTAACTACGCAGTGAAAATTTAGCACAGGGCTTTGAATGGACTGTTGATGTATTTAGGATCTCGAAGGGCCCGATATTAACTTCAGCCTCAAACAGCTCGGGCAGATGATTAGTTTGTAGCATTAAGTTCTGCTCTCATTTGTCTCGCCCTGGGCCCACAGCTTTGCATTTGTATTGTCAATGAGCATCGGGCAACTGAGCATCTTATGTATATAGCCCCCCCCGCTAACATCTAGTCCCATTAATGTTTTTCAAAGTCTGTTGGAAATGCGCCACTGTGGAGTTTTTTATTTTTTTTCTTTCTTGCATGGTTTAAAGTCACTAATGAGGGTGTGTGGCCTAAGAGAGAGCAGATTGAACACACACACACAGGCAGCTTGGTGTGTCACTCCTCTCCCCCTGAACATATCATCCATGTTATGATAAGCCTGATTAGTGCTGCTTCTTTGACTGCTGAGGGCAGGATAAGGATGTGTGGGTAAAGAGGCGAGAGCAGCCTCTTCCACCAGCCTAATCTACAACAGAGCTCTAATCTGGTTATCTTGTGGTCGGGGACTGTGTGTATTAGTCTCTGACTCGGCCTGGCCTGATGAGAGGGGCTGAGCTCCGGTTAACACAGGGGCCCACGGCAGCACACCCCTAAAGCTCCACTGTAATCTTTGGGTAATTGAAAAAAGGGGCCTGCGCCACTTAGGAGCACAAAGAGAAGATTACATAGCTAAAACTAATTTGGCAAAAATGCAGAAATGGATTTTCAGCCCCACCTCCTCTCTCCTAACCCTTTTATTACAATACACCCCTACCCTCCATGAACCGCGCCCTGGGGGAATAGATGAGGGTAGGGGAGTGAGGAAGAGGGGAGACCAGGAGGAGGCTCGAGAGCAGGGAGGAGGCGAGCCAAGCAGAGCTGGCTCGAGCTGCTAATGACTGTGGATTTACACGTGCTGCCTTGATTTCGTGGTTTACAGATGATCGATTACTTCACTGCAACCGTGGTTAAAAGTGCCTCATCACACATCAGACCCAAATGTGAACTGGCAACCCCCCAAGCCTCTTAGATTGTGTTACTAAATTCCGTGGTGACACCGCAGAAGTGTTTTTAATTACAAACCACACTATTTTCGCTGTGGCTTGGTGGTTTGGCGCCTTGAGCGGACCCAGAATTTGATACCTCTTCTTTCGAGAGCCTTCAGACCAAGCTGTAATTCTGTGGCAAGCGCCTGTAATTTCTAACCCCTAACCCAGATATTAAACCCCCTGGTCTTTTTTCTTTCCCCTTTCTCTCTCTATTCCTGTCTCTCTGTATCCTTCTACTTGCTCTTAGTCTAATAAGGTTCCAGTGGTACAGCACCCTCACCATGTGCACCCTCTCACGCCTCTGATCACCTACAGCAATGAGCACTTCACACCGGGGAATCCCCCACCTCACCTACAGACAGACGTGGATCCCAAAACAGGTAAAGACGAAGTATTTTTCCACTGCATGCATGTGTGTTTGACTGGCATGTGGACATTTTTATTCAAAATAGAATTTAGCAACATGCTACTTGATTCCTGCAAAAAAAAACACCATTGGAAAACAGTACAGTGTGTTTTAAAGGTGTCAGAATTAAACTTTGAGCACCCCAACACGGTTCAAAAACATAGTCTGAGAAGTCAGAAGCAGCTTTCCTTAGATAAGGCCTCTTAGTAACTGTATGTACTAATGGGTGTGCAAATGTTTTATTATGCCTCGCCACCATGGCTCCATATTTTGTTGTTTCAAAACATGTTTTCAAATCAAGATTAAAACATAATTCAAGTGTCATTTTTACAATACAGGTATTCGATAGAGTAGACCGTATTGTTTTAACCACTGTGCTTTTTAATATTGAAACCACCCGTATACTCTATTGTGTGAGGAAGCATCATGAAATAGAAATTTTAAATGTTTCCTTAGTTAATGACCTCAGAAAGATAACTAGGACTATTTACGAGATTGTCATCGTAACAGTGGGACAAAGTCAAAGTGTTCTCAAGTGCTTCTTGTTGACGACCGCTGCTCTCATCTGTTACTGATTGATTTAGCTATTAAGCTCGTGGACATGGTTTGGCTTCGGCAGAAAGTGGCCTTACATACGAGAACAAGGACCTGAACAGTGGCTCATAAAACTCTCATAAAAACATGGAATTCAGCGAACAACCACGACTTCTCATGACCGCAAGTCCGTTTGCCAAGACTCAAAACAAGACAGCCACTGTAACGGAAGGTCCTCACATCTAAATACCAGAGAACGTACATACTTACGACTGTTTTATGTCTTCACTAAGTACACAAAAATCCCCAAAATGGAAGATATGACCTGACCCTTTTTAGTTACCAACCCTGTGCCTGTCACAAGTGTAGTTGCATCTTTACAGCCTGTTGATCCTGTAGATTCGGCATGCCCACATTTAGGAGTCAGATTCTGTCCACACATCCCTCTCCCGCAAACATTTAGGGTACATTTTTAGGCAATTTCATTCATTTCCGTGAGCATCTTAACCCAGCACTTCATTTTGTTAACTGTCATTCAGCCCATCCTTTCAGGTTAATGCATTTTCATTTCGGTGAATAATTTCATGCTTTCCTCTGGTCTCTGGTGGATTCAGTCAATGTTTTAGGTAATAATGTTCTCTTATTATGATGGTCCTTACAAGGGGGAAATAATGTGCCAGCTGCTGTTTAATGTAGTGCTTAATGGGGCTGCTTAATTGGGCTCAGTGTTTAATTAATTAATGAGCTATATTAGGTCTTCAGCGCTGTGTGGCAATGGGATAATGTTCATAGGCTTTTTAATAGAACTTGCCTTTGTTAAAACGGTATTCCAAGAAAAGTTTTCAGCATAGACACAACCTGCTGCACAGCGCATCGTCCATCAGTAACAGAATCCCTATCAAGAATCAGTTCCTGGATAACCTGGTTCAGCTGCAGACTTTGGGTGTAACCACCAACACTGGCCAAGTTCTGATTTATGAAGACTGATCTGGCTCTAATTTGGCCGTGCTGGCACTGATCGAGCCAGCTGTGTGGAAGAAACATCATATCAGCCAAAATGAAAGTCCCCCAGGTGCTGGTCTACTGAGCGAGCGCGTGCGCTGTGCTTTTACACATGTCTAGTGTTCCCTGTTTCAAGTTTGTCATGAGAGAAAAAGTTATTTTTACACCTGGCTGTGTACTAGACCTTTTTCAAGGCATTCATTCAGGGCAGCTTGTCGATGCAGTTTCTTCGCCTGTCAGCTGCCACAGAAAGTAAAGGCAGCACCGTGGAAGCTGTGATTGCTTGGCGATACCCTCAACGAGAGCTGTCCTTAAATTCGACGTCTTTGTCACTCTTTGTCTGCGGGGATAACAAACAAAATTCGCTGCTGTTTTTATGTTAAATCTGAGTATCAGTTGGACAAATGGAGACCAACGAGCCAACACATACACCACGTTTCACATTGCCGTTAACTGTGTCAAAACGAATGGTGACGCTGAACGTATCGCTATTAAAGTAGCCATTAATCTGAGTCAAAAACATGTTTCTAATGAGTAAAATCCATATCCCTCCAGCCAGTACGCTAGCGTAAATCAGCTTGACTCAACCTGTAGCCCTGTATTAGCAGCTCTCTGATCACAAAGAAGGCTTTAATTATGTTGTTGTGTTCTGTTAACTTCCAAACCTCAGTCATTTTATATCATTAGTCTTCTGAATCAGTAGACAAATGTGACAAGAATCGTGTTGGTGTTTTCTCCTCACCTCTCTCCCCTCTGCCTCTTCCAACACTTTGTGCCGCCACCACCGCCTCAAAGGCCTTTGATCAGGAAGTGTGATTTAGCACTGTGTACATGCGAGCAACAAGCCCTCTTCCTCCTCCTCTTCCTCCCATCTGCACTCCTGTGATGTTTGCCCCATTCAGATGTGAAAACTTTCAACAAAGAATGAATTCAGCACTGACAAAGATTTGGTTCTCTCTCTGTCATCATCTTCTCTGTCCACCTCCTCTCTGCTCCTGTCATCCTCTTTCTTCTACAGGAATTCCAAGGCCTCCACATCCTCCAGATATATCTCCTTATTACCCACTGTCACCTGGCACTGTCGGCCAGATCCCCCATCCGCTAGGATGGTTAGTACCACAGTAAGCGAATCCTTTTTATTACTCTTTCTACTGTATTCTCTTTTGAGTTGTGCGAAGCATGATGAATACACATAAACTGTATTTCAAGTAAATTAAAGAGAAAAACGGTAAACAATAAAAGCAGATATTACCTTACATGTATGGACATTGTGCAGCAGGATGTTGGTCTTTATGTACACAAAGTCAGTGATGGAAGCTGTCTCTGTCGCCTCTTGGTCCCCTGAGTGGGTCCTCTGTGTTTGAGTCCTCTAAAACTTAAACTTGATCCTTTAACTTTCTAACACACTCACTCCTGGACCACAGCAGCCCACTGCAGCTTCCTCGGGCCCTCACCAACGTCAACTTGCTACTTTGTGGCAAATACTATTTTGCATGTCTCTGTAAGGTCCAATTAGAGTAATGAACCGTGATTGCCCGTATTTTACCCACAATTCCACACGGGGGTTCTCCCCTGGTAACTCTTGTCAACACTTGTTAATATGACAAAAGGCTACAAATTAAGCTCTGTTAATTTAATGTTTTCTCACCGCGATCTAAATACCGAGAGAGGCCCCGAGCGCAGCCATGGCGCCCTTTGATTTGCTGCACTTTATTTTGGTATAAATTTACATTCATTATTGTTTGTCTTTGAATGTGTAGACCTCAATTAGCGTGATGGCTCCATTAAAGAGACCCGTGCTTCGTCTTTAATTATCACAACAAAACACCTAGTTCCAGCTTGGGGAGGAACAGGGCCCCACTCTGTCGACACCGAGCGAAGGGTTATGAAATTTAATTAGCCATTGCTATCAAGATTTGTGGCATTCAAATTGTTCAGAGTTTTCCTCCCTTTGATCTGCGCTCTGCAATCCCCTAGATTTTTGTCCTGATCAAATGAGAATAAAGAGGCCCACGGTGGGGAGAGGAGAGAGACAGAGGGCTTTACCTTCTCCTCTTCCATCACCCCTGTTCCTTTACCTTTTTGCCTTTCTTCTCCCCCCCCCCTTCCCAGGCAAGGTCAACCTGTTTATCCAATCACAACAGGGGGTTTCAGACACCCCTACCCAACTGCGCTCACTGTCAACGCATCCATGTCAAGGTGAGTTGAGCCCTAGGAGCTACACACACACACACACACACACACACACACACACACTATTTCTCACTTACTCTTACATGCAGTTGTGTGTTTGTGTTGGCTGTGAGGGCAATGCGCAAGCAACACACATGCACACTCCCATGCAGAGACAGTGAGCAGCAACTTCTCCCTTAAGGAGAGCTCACACTCCCCATCTCGGTGTTCAAAAGGCCAATTCTCCAGTGTGGGACTCCAGATAGTGTGCTCAAATATTAATTATATTTATCATTTTCTAATGAGGCCCCTGAAGAACATTTACCCCCACTGCATGTCAGGCAGATCTGAAATGAGCTGGGGCATGTCTTTGCTGTGAGTTTGAGCAGCCAGACAGATAAACAAACATAACAACACTTTGAAGGGGACTGGATGATATAAGCCGGGGCCTGACACTTGGCTAGTGCTTTGGTCCAGCCCATTAGGGTCCAGCTCCAGTGCTGCTGTGGACATTAGTGCACCCATGGGGGTATGTGTATTTGTTGCCATCTTGTATACATTTGTGTGTGTTTGTCAGTTGGTGTTAAACTACTTACTGTTCCCTTGAGGGAGAAATGTCCTCTATATTGAGTGGGAAGTGAAAATAATTAATTTTGGATGACTAAAAGCCCATGATTTGTGGGACTGCAGGAGCCAAAAAAGCAACAACACAAAAAACCATACAGCCTCCTCCTCCGCTCCTCCTCCCTCTATACGCCCTTGCAGCAGGGGACTTTTGACTGGGCTGGTTTAGAGTCTAGGGATGAGGCCAAGCTTTAGTTTAATTACAGCCTGATTGGAAAAGCAGCTCCTGAGGGCGGTGTGTTTAGACCTCTGTGACATTGATGGATCATGTAGATGCAGGGAGGGAGGAATTGCAAGGGGAATTAAATTTTTTAAAGTATAGTTGAGTTTGTAAGCTCATTCAGACAGTACAGTTCAGTTTTTGCAGCGGTTTCTTTGTTAAACTGTCCTTTTAGTGACTTAATTGACTATAATAAATACCTTCTTGCATCGAACGTTACTTTTGAACGTTCTCATTCTGGAGAAGGGCGTCTGGAATAGAGTCAGATTTGCCCCTTCCCGAGCAAGTCTCCGACGCAAAGGGTCAGACGGTGGGTCTGTCCAGACATCGGCATCTGGCAGCAGTACCCAGCCAACCTGGGCTTTAAGTGACTGCTAATTTGGTCCCTTAATGACAGCCTCTACATTGTGATCATCTTATTTCCAGTGCAGTTAATTGAATATACTGGCTGGGGTGTGGGGGGGGGACTGGCCATGGGGAAGAGCTAATGCCCTGTGATGAGGCCCCTAATTGAATTAGTATAACTGAATAGATGGAGGGCTCTGGGAGCTCTCTGGAGAATGTAAGGGTTTAACACATCTCCCCCCTACACACACACACACACACACACACACACACACACAATCCCCCCTCCTAACACATGGAAAAAAAACGCCCTGAATTCTGACTTTGACAAGGAAGAGGGGGAAAAAATTGTTAACAAAATCTAGTAAAAATCTGTCTAATTGTGTCAGCAAAATGGCAGGATCCTTTCATACATAGCCTTCAGCCAGTCGGTTTTGTTCAAAGAATGGACCAGACTGTTGTGATAGCTCAAACGTTTTGTAGGAAGCAAGCTGAGTGGAGGAAATCGGAGAGAAAAGACATCCTGGCCTTGTACTCTTGTCGGGAGCCAGTTCTTTGCAGGAGCACGCTGCTTCAGTATCAGTCCCCTGTGCCACAGCCCGACCTGAATTAAGATGCAGGGAATAAATCTGGTATCTCGTTGTCCTGCAGTGAGCACCTTACACCTAGGTCCTGTTAAAAAATGCATTCTTTTTGGACGGGAGGAAAAAGAGCCAAGGAGAGTAGACAGTCAGTGGAGCAAATGAAAGACATTATTTTGATAATGGGGTTGGAGCCAGTGCAGGTCCCCCATAGTGTGTGTGTGTGAGACAGGTGGGAGGATGTAAAGGCCCCTTTGCCCCTTATGCTTAAGCCTGCCCTTTGATATGTTCCTCCATCATCCCGCTCCCTCTCTTTTCCTTGGGAACGGGAGAAGCGCACCGGCCGGATCATTATACATTAAACAGGCACAGAGGCTACTGCTTCGCATTGGCAATTAAATGGCACTGGCTGACACTGGGCTTGCTGCGCCAGTGACCCCCCCTCCCCCCTTACCCCAACACCGCTAGCCATTCTTACCTTTCAGATTGAGACGTAGGAGCCCCGGGGTTGGGGTGGGTGGATGGGTGGGGGTCTCCGCTGCGTCTCCCTCTCTGTGCTGGTTAAATTGGTCCAAGGTGCTGCTTACTGCTGATGAGCCTGGATGATGATGATGATGCCCCCACGCTTCAAAGGGATGGCCGTCATGTTTAAACCATAACCTGGGCCATGCAGTGGCAGCGGGAGGAGGGAAGGGAGGGGGAGAGAGGAAGCGAAGGAGTGTGGAGGTGATGAGGGGACAGGGCGGAGTTGAGAAGAAGAAGAGGAGAGGAAAAAAATACATCTTGGAACAGAGGAAATTTTAACAAGTGCACAGAGAGAGAAGGAGGGGGTGAACAGGGAGAGAGGAAAAGGAGTGAGTGAGGAAAATGCAGCAGCCCTAATGATGGGCGATATGCAGCCACTGCTACCGAGCTCCCCATCAACGGATGACATGGCACAAACACCAATGTGTCAGTGATGAAGGGAGAAGAGGGGAAAGGAGAAAAAGAGGGAAAGAGTTTGAGGGGGGAACGCACTGGCACTCCCCTGAGATGGCCTCCAACAGAAACTAGTTGTTCCTGGCGAGTTTATCCTCATCATTATATTCTGGCTCGGAGCCATGCAGCCAGACACAGCCGGATAATGAGCTGCTTTATAAAAAAAAAGGAGGAATTATTTCTCTTTTTTTCTTCTCCTTCATCCTCCTCTCTTCCCTGAAATTTGTGTGTGGTCACGTGGAGCCGAGGTCTCGCGCTGTAAACATACACATGCAGATAGACGCGCACACGTTCAAATAATCTGACACAAATAATTAGTGTCAAACATACAATGTCACACACACTACAGCAGCGTCTTATTTCTGTTGTGGCCAGTGAAACGATTTTGCAAAGAAGGCTTTCTGGACTCGATGCGTGGTGCGGTTGGAGATGATGAAATGATGATAGGTGTGCAAAGGGATGAAGATAAAAATGTCAGTGCTGCTGACAGTGCTGAATTGGCAGAAAAGAATGGCAGGAGGAAGCAAACAGAGACCCAATACCTGAAGTGATACTAGACTTTGATAGGACATTTTAATCTAGTTTGCAATATTCCTTGATAAGAGAGAATGGTTCAATCTTTACCCCTCCAAAATCTGGCATTTTCATATCAGTGTAATTGCTAAAAATGCAGTTTCCTCAGATATTCTATGAATTGTAGTTATGAAGTTGCTATTTGTCATCTGCGGATGAAAGACCCTGTCATCGTCACTTAAATCTTATTTGAAAACCATTTCCTCAGCTATCATAGGTGAGATTTGTTAAGGCAGAACTTTTCCCTCAAAAACCTGATATAGGAGGAGTTCTTCTAGATCTGAGAAGTGTTTAATCAGTCTGATAAAAGCTGTGGAAGATGCTGATATATCAGTCTACACAATCTCTCTGTAACTGTGAGTAGAAGAGTTCAAGGTCCCTCAAGCCAACGCATTTCATCAAATATATGACATGATTTGTTACCTGTATTGCTTAGGACACTCTTGATAGAGATTAATTAATTTATCTCAATAAGGTTGTGATTTAAATAACATTTTAGAAAAATGAACTTAAGTTCAAGCTTTTAGTGTGTAGGTTTTTTATGGGTTGTTGAAAATTGGCATTCAAGAAATTTATCCTTGTGCAGTTGCACTTGCGCATTGCCACACAATGTACTTTTCAACGTATTTTACTGATGGTTTACCCTGATTTGAATATACTTTTGTGTGAAGCTAAAAGCTGCCCAGGCTGGATTCTGTGATCAAATTGTGTGACATTTGAGTAGTTAAAGTATGCTAAATGGTTGTGAATAATAATACAGGAATCAGCCTTGGACATTTTCAAGTGGATGTCTGTATGTGTATGTGCATTAATGTCTTTTCTTGTGACTAAAGGCCAATTCCATTTCTATCAAATAAACTGTTAAAACACTTTGTACTTTGATATATCACTAAAAGATGGGAATGGAATTTAGCACCTTTAGTCTTGTGTATACATGTGCTCCATCTTCTCATTTCACCCGTGTCCATTCTGACGATTTACACAGTCTTCTGTCCTCTAGGTTCCCCCCACACATGGTGCCCCCTCACCACAGTTTGCACACCACGGGCATCCCACACCCAGCCATCGTCACACCCAACGTCAAGCAAGAATCCTCCCACAGTGACATCAGCTCCCTCAACAGCTCGTGAGTAGACTTTTACTGCCCTAAAATCACTTTTCAATCTCACATGTCATATAGCCAGTCGTAGGTTTACTCTAATCAGCCTTTCTGCCCTCTGGTATCTCAACAGGAAACAGTCAGACGCTAAGAAGGAAGAGGAGAAAAAGAAACAGGTCCACATAAAGAAGCCTCTGAATGCCTTCATGCTCTACATGAAGGAGATGAGGGCCAAGGTGGTGGCTGAGTGCACACTGAAGGAAAGTGCTGCCATCAACCAGATCCTGGGCCGGAGGGTAAGTCACTAAAGTCACACATTTTATTGTAAACATTGGTAAAGGCAGTTAACAGCCTGATGGAAAAGAATACAAGCAGAGTGATGGTGATCAAGGACCACTTTTGCAATTCACGGGTCAGATTAAAGATGAATAAAAGCTTGTTGTGGTGACCACAACCTGCACAGACATATTTTCCTGTTCATGGTGAAAATCTTTCTACGTCTCCTTTCTGTGTCCTGTTTCTCATTTAACAGTGGCATGCCCTATCGCGGGAGGAGCAGGCCAAGTACTACGAGTTGGCCAGGAAAGAGCGACAGCTCCACATGCAGTTGTACCCAGGCTGGTCAGCACGAGACAACTATGTAAGTTTTTAAGTTTACAAGTCGTAACGGCCTGTTCTTTTCCCCTTTCACTAGGTGACATGACCAGAATGAGTTATTTCTTTTGCTTTTTTCTTATCTAGCCTGAGGGATCACTTTCTTCCTGTAATTTGCTTTTGATATGTATATCTGACACCGGACAAATTGCAAGCCCATCTTCTTATCACATGATGTTGTTAATATGAATCCACAGTGAATGGTTTGTGCTCCAGACACTTTGTTCTGACACTTAAAGTGTGCAGATTCTTGTCAATTTTATCCGGTTTTGGGATCAAGCTGACCAGTGGAGTCTTCCATGAGCAGCCTTAGAGAAATCTGTCTCCCAAACCAGAAGCTCGTCAAGATGTCTAGATGTTCACAGAGCAGAGGAAAGTCAGACAAAAGATTACAGAGAAAAAAGAAAAGAGCAGAAAAGACAGAAAATAGAGAGAGGAGAGAGAATTCTGGTCTGGCCTGCAGTGGCTGTTACAAACCGGAGGGCAAAGGCAAAAAAAAAGGCAGAGAAAGAATGAATGAATAAATAAGTAAACACAAAGATGAGTCCTATTCTCTGTTTCATGTTTTGGGCATTCTGCAATATAATAACTAAGGTTCCTGTCTGTGTCTATTTTTTTCTTTCTATTTTTTTGGCGGCTAACCAACAGGGGAAAAGGAAGAAGAGAAAAAGGGAAAAGCAGCAAGCAGAGAGCAATGGTAAGTGAGCTGCAATTATCTCCCATATTAGAAGAGCCCCATCATGTGTCAGGCAGATGTGACATCTTGCAAGATAAAAGTCAAGCTAGTTTTTTTGTGTGTTATGCTTCTTTTGTGTGTGTGTTATTGTGCCTGGCTTTTTTCTTTTTTTTTTTTTTGGTATAGTTATGCTACCCAATGCAATATTTAAATTGTAGAGTTGCTTGTAATACCCCCCCTCCCCCTTCCCCATTTTCCCCTAGCCTTCCCCAGCTAATAACAACTGAATATGCATGACCCCCCACGCTCCTTCTCACCTCCCCTCTTGACACCCCCACCCTCCACCCCCCTCCCCACTTTGCCCCTTAGCGTTCTGGTATTGTGATATGTATGTTTTGAGAATATGAAGTTGAAGCATTGTGAGAGCCATTAACTTTGCTAGTGTTGTGTGCGTGGCCCCGTTTTATAATGCCTGTGCCCTGCAGATAGACTGCACTACAGTGCTCTGTGTGTGTGTGTGTGTGTGTGTGTGTGTGTGTGTGCGCGCTTGCTGGGCTGCCCCTTGCTTGCTTTCATGCATGCTTTTATATCAATATAAGAAAAATCACTTACACCTTAAAATTAAGGAGGTTTGCTAATTCTATGATTTATCCATTTTTGTTCTCATGATTCATATTCTTCTGATCGTACTGTGAGGAACAATGGCGACTTGTTATTATGTATTTTGCGCTCGTTTGGTGACGGATTTCTTCTTGAAGGCCTCTCTATCTGTTCTTTTTTTTCAGAACACAGAGAATATTTTCCAAACCCTTGCCTTTCACTCCCTCCGATTACAGGTGCTAATGTCATTTTGAGTATTAAATTACTAACTTGTTTTTTTCCTTCTTTTTTTTAATTAATGTATATTTAATTATATTTATGATTGTGTTAGGCAGGTTTAAAATTAAATTCTATATTTTGCAATATGCTCTTTTTGCTTTGTTTGCTGCTTTCTTTTCTTAAAATGTTGCTATTCTTTACTTGACTTGAAAAGTAGATTATTTCATTTCCCTCCCATTTATTGCCATATAGTTAAGAGCATTATCCGTATTTTGGCATAATCACTATGCAGTATGCTTGAGGAACTGATGATATAAAGTTGGATTATTATTGTGGAGTATGACCTGAAGGATGTGATGTCCGGGTAAACCTCCTTAATCTATATGCTTCAGTAGCTGCGCTTGTGTCTTTCCTATTGGCCAGCATGAGTTTGGCCCACTCCTCCTTTTAAATCTGTCTCTACTCAGACAAGGCCTGGACTCAAACAGTTCACCACAATATTCTGCTGTCACTCTTCTCTACTCCTGATAATGACACAGCTACTGGGTAGAGCTAGCAAGTGACTGGCAGCTTTTCTGCAATAGACAACAAATGTTGGTGGAAAACAGTCAACTGTTTGATGCCAGGTCTGAGGAGTAGATTCCCTCTTCAGGTTCCAGCCCTTTTAATCCTTCCCCTGGCTAGGGCTAACTCACAGCTGCGCTGTTTTAGCAGTCTGCTACTGCTGCCTAGTTCTACCACCTTGACCCTGTCTTTTTGAAACCATAGTGCACTGATAACATGTTAGCAGTAAATTAATCCAACGTGCATTTGCTGCATTTAAATCCTCTCAACCGAATAAGCACTTCCTAGTCACTAGGAACTCCAATCAGAGTTTAGATCACGACGGAAAGCGCGTGTTTCCATATTAATGTCATAATGTTAATTTGCATGCGTTTTGATTTTTACTAATTTCTGAAACACACTAATTGTGTTCAGCTCTATCTTTAAGGCACACTTGAGAATGGCTTTAAGGGTGTTTTTTGGGCAGGTGGGGTGGGGGGTTTCTTGCACTATGAGCCACTGCCAAGCTTCATAGATTCACTGTTACCTGTTTTTTCTCCTTATTTCTCTCCTCCTTTTGATTTCTGTTCCTTATGGTTTTGGTTCTATTCCTCTTCTCTGCTGGCTTCCCCTCCCTGTTGCGGCATCAGACCTGAGCGCTCCTAAGAAGTGTCGAGCGCGCTTTGGGCTTGATCAACAGAATAACTGGTGTGGCCCGTGCAGGTGTGTATGGTGTGTGCTTGCACTGGCCAGGGCCAGGTGAAGGCTGGGTAACTGTACACTGGGACTTCCTCCTTCGCTCTCTGCTGTTGCCTTTTCTTCCTCTTCTCTCCCCTGCCTCTGTCTGTCCCGCCAAGCTATTATGACCTCTCAGCTTCCTCCAGCCACGCCCTGCCGGTCTATCTCTAGTTCCCACTATTTGATTTTTACCTCCTGTTTGGGAAGAAGGGTATTAACAGCATATGCCAGAATGTTGGTATGAATGGTGTTTGTGTTGATGAAGAAACATTTCTGGGGTTACAGAGGTTTCATTGCAGGATGTACATAACAATAAGCCTCACTGACATTGGTCAGAAATCCTAAACTGGCAGGTCGGGGCTTGGATGATCTGGAGCCTGATGGCTTGGTCAATATGGAGGACATCCCAGTGTTAGCCAGCCTAAACCTAAGCCCTGGCTACATGTATTTGTCTGTGCAATGACGTGTCGATTTTCTTTTTCTTTTTTTTTTGTCTCTGTGTGTATGTTTGTGTCTACCTCTTTGGCTAACAGATGCAAATACCCCAAAGAAGTGTCGTGCCTTGTTCGGGCTTGACCAGCTGAGTTTATGGTGCAAACCATGCAGGTATATCTGCTATAGTACCAATGGGAGGAAGACATCCACAATGAGCAGCTTCCTTCTCCTTGATTTTTTTTTTTTTTTTCTTCGCTCAGATATCCATCTAAAACATGTTTCCATCAGCGTGGTAACAGATGGCAAACTCTTCTGCTCCTTTTCCTTACTGAGGAGCTTCCTGCTATAAATTCCCTCATAGCAATTTTTCTTCATTGAACTCGGTTCAAGCCCAGTGGCAGAAAATGGATTTCTAAATAAGATTACTGAATATTTTATCTCAACAAAATATCTTGCTGCAAGATCATGGTTTCCTTATATATTTTGGAAGAACATTTCTTACATTCTGATTTTTTATTTTTATTTTTTTGTGGTTGAAATCCATTTTCTCTCCAGGCAGTGGATAATTCCCTCCCATCTTAAGTGTCATGTTTGTTCTAATTGGCGTCCTTTTGAATAACAATGTTATGCTTACAAATTTAGCCCTGCTTTCTCTGAGGGCCTGCTCAGTGACACTCTTTTCTGTGCCCTCTTCCTCCTCTTTCTCCACCTCTTCTTCCTCCAAACTCCTCTTTAATAACCCTTACTTAGTCCCTACCTGTTGTCTTTCTGTTCTGACACAAGCAGTCTTTGAATTGGGAATATTTTCATGGTAGGTATTTGTTTCTGTAATACCCTTCTCTGTGTCTGGCTTGCACCACACCCTGCCCCAATCTTTCTTGACACAACCCTTCAACACATTGTCTGTTTCTGCTGTTACACGTTTCATTTGTTTTAACCATTTATATGGGTCGGCTCAAAATCAAAATGTAGTCAGATGGGTTTTTGTTTAATTTTGCTGCACTTTGCAGTCACATTAAGAGGTAATTTTGAGCAGTTTATAAGCCTATTTCAAAGGAAATTTCTCAGATTGTGTCACAATTTCCAATGTGCTGAATGTCCAACAAGAATTTAACATATGACCTACAGATTTTTCTATTCAAATTTTCTTTTGAAATAAGTAGGAAGTCACACTCACCCACCACCACACAGTCTGCCGTTGTTGGTGTTTCCACTTGGCTCTCCTATTTCCCTTCCAGCTGACAAACTCATTATCAAAAAATACTACATTATTCCTCAAACAATAATAGCAGATCAGGAGAAGAGAAAGCGCTATAATTCAGTCGAGAGGTTAAAACTTCTCTCTGGGCTCCATTTCCTAAAAGATGCGTCTGCTGTAATTTCCCCCGAGGCGGAGAAATCAATAACATACACAGGCACATACTATGAATCGATATGTCTGTTAAAAAATGGATATTAGCTCATTTGCTACAGTTTGACAGACAGTTATCGAGAGCAAGATGTGTATGTAGTGGCAAAATGATACCTTTTTACAGCCGGTCGATACTCCGCACCACCCAGCCTCATCCCCACTCTTTTCCGGACTTACCTCGTGTTCTATACTGTCTGGTGTTGTGTGCTTGTACTGTCGAGCTTATCGGAAAATGCATGCCTGCCTTTCACCCTAGCATGCGATCAAGGTTTCGTGAGCCCTTTTTTTTGTGATTCGTTGATGTCCCTCTTCCTTTTCATTCTCAGTAATCTGCTCTTTCTGTTCATGTTTACGTAGACTTGTCCCCTGTCAGAACTACAGGAAAAGGTTTGATTTGAGAACAGTTAAACAGTAGATCAGCCTTACATGTTCCAAAAGCCTCGATCTTTCTTTTTTTAAACACACGCAGTCTTTTTACATACTCCCTGTCCCTGAGAGTCCAATATGCTCATACTCCTTGGCCTTCAGGCATCGTTGTGATAGAATAGAAAGCTGAGAGGGGGTCACTGCCAGGGTCAGGGTAAGGATGAGGTGGGCAGAGATTCCCCCTTAACCAAATCCGAACGCAGCCTTTGCAGCAGAGTCACCACAGATAAATGCAACAATGCCCTACTCTCCAACCTCCCCCTCCCTCCCCTCCCATACTCGCTCATCGGGTTACGCAGCGGGCCTGGCCTCAGGCCTAAGAAGGCAGGGGGAGGGTCCCGACCCAAGGCAGGAATGCAAACATGATGCCTTGACCCCTCACGCACACACACACACTTGTGTCTGTGGGGCAGATTCTGGGTAGTGTGGATCTTGTTGACTCCTTTGCCCTTCAATCCAAACTCTGTCCCCTCAGGAGAAGAGAGAGTAGAGCCAGATAGAGGTAGAGGAGTGAGACAGGTCCAGTAACCTCTGTTGCTGGAGAGAACAGGCTGATCCCCAGCTGTAGCTCTGCCTGTAAGAAAGGCTGAGTATACACACAGAGAGCAAACATTGCTACATCTAATCTGCTTCATTTTGTTGTGTCATCATCCCTGTGTGTGTTTTTCATGTCCCTGCTACTTCCTGTCAAGGTGCTTCACCGGTGATCTTTCCTTCATGTCCGTCTTGTCTGATGGTTTAGTATTTATAAATTGACTGTCATTTCTAGCACCTTCCTTAGCACCGGGTTTCTAAAGCCACTTCAATGCACCTGCAAAATTTTCTCTGTTGTGTAAAACCAGTTTCAAGCAATGGGTTTCCTTCATTTGAAAAGCCAACAGGTGCATTTAAGTCAGCAACAGTGCTAAGAAGGGATGCAGTTTGAAGATGTGATGCTAAAAGATGCTCTCTTTCTCTCGCCTTGTCCCTCAGGAGAAAAAAAAAGTGCATTCGCTACATCCAAGGTGAAGGCAGCTGTGCTAGTCCTCCCTCTACAGACGGAAGCTTACTAGACTCCCCCCCATCCTCCCCCTCCTCAGTGGTTCCCTCCCCCTCCTCAAAAGAGTCCAAACCTCAGACTGAACAAATGCAACCTCTCTCACTGACTATGAAACCGGCCCACCAGCCACTCCACCACCCGCACCTCCTGGCTGGGCCTCCACCATCTTTGGTTCAGCTGGAAAACTCTGCTGCAGCTAGCAAAACGCCTGGCGCCTCCTCCCACAATGGAGCCCTGGAGCACGGCGACGTCTCGTCCTCGCGGCAGCCGGGCTCCTCTGTGGCGTCCTCAATGGCCCGGCCCTCGGCATTGCTGTGTCATTCCCACTCACTCCTCCCCTCCACGGCCCCTCAGCCTCTGTCGCTAGTGACCAAGTCTATAGAATAGTCTACCCTATTCTTTTCCTCTTTTCTAGCTCTGCAAACACAACACACACACCTTTCTAGGCCCTCTCTCTGCTATATTTCACTTGCCGTCAGTTCTTTTCTCTTTATGTTTCTGTGCCATAAGGCTTTGAAATTTTAGTTTTTGTTTTATTAAAGTTCATTGGTCAATATTTGACCCATCATTATCAAAAAAAAATCTAATTATTAAAGAAATGATACAATGAGCTGTAGTATAGCTTTGTGAATCTGCCAAAATTTTTATGAATTTTGTTTTGTCTTTTTTGTAGTGTTAAACAGTGCAAACAGAAAAATTATCTAGTACAACTTCAAAATGTTTAAAAGACGGATATAAAAAGGTAGGCTAGATTATTCAATGAGCCCTTTTCTTGAAAGAGTTGGTTCTCCTTCTTTATTTGTATTAAATACGAGCTTGCGAACCAATCATTTGACATCTGTTCAAACTCTAGGAGGGCATGAGGCTAGTGGTGACACCTCTCTGAGGAACAACTTTAATTGTGATGTTACTTGTTCTTGTTTAAATGTACAGAATAATGGGAGGGGGGGTTACTGTGTTAAATATGCATTCTTCCACTGCGTTGTCTTTTTTCTTTGTTGTTTACCTTTGGGGTGGAGTCAGGCAAGTTGGGTGGGCTTGAGGGGAGGTTGGGGTGGGAGGGTTGAGGGTTATTAAATTCAAAATGTCACAACGCTAGGACCAGTAGTATTTATTGCTTTAGAGATTGCTTGTTGTATCTTGTATGTGTCTCTTTTGACTTTTTTTTTTCTTAATACATTGTACAAATTTCTTTTCTTAAGGTAAGCAACTTATATATGAATGATCCATTTTTACAAGAAGGTTTTAAAAGGCAAATCTTTTGTTATTGATTTTTTTTTTTTTTTCCTTGCTGAAAACCTGGATTCCACTCAGTGTACTGTGTAGATCTCATGAACAGAAGTATGCACAACTTCATTTCAAGAAATGCGTCTATAAGCCATTTTACAAAAAGAAGAAAAGAAAACTTGAAACAAGAGACAGTGGGTACCGTGTCTTCAGTAGTTGGAAAAGTGTCTAAAGCCCTTCTTTTTTATTGCACAGTCACATCTCTCAGACTGTAGATTGGTGTACAGATTTTCCGTGCCAAATTTTGTGATAATTTTCTCTGCCCCTCTAACCATGCTGTAGGGATCTTTGTTTTGTTTTGTTTTGTTGTTGTTTGTTTTTTTTTATTTCGATACCATTCTTTGCTGTGACGTTACATAGATTGCTATGTATGTAGTATAAATGTTGCTATAACAAATGTGTTTGGTAGCAAATTGTCAAATATTAAAATTTAAACTTAATAAAAAGGCGGACATCATACTGTATAAACCCACAAGGGCCAAATTATGTATATTAGGAGGTTCATAAAAAAACTATTAAATACAAAAAAATACACAAACTGCCACTTTTAAGTACACTACTACATATAGGTAGATAGAAAAAATAGGCATGTTGATGTTGCAAGAGGCTGTAAAAAAAGCTACAAGAGAATCATCCACTCAGTGCCATTGTAGTTGACATGACGCGACTGTAATCTGTCGATTTCTTCTCTGGTTTATTAAGATGCTAATGATAAATAGTTTGAATGTTTCCTTAACGGCTGTGATGTTCCTGTTCTATTTTATGCTCTTATCTTTTTGTTTGTTTGTTTTTTCCTGTTATTTTAAATGGTTCCAAAACCATGTTTTTTTGTAATGAATAAATGTTTATGCTGTACAGTCTCTGTAGCATGCAGTTCTGTATTAATAAAAGCAACTTAGTATGTGCACATCTTTGTCTTCCTTTCATTCTGAAATTCACTGGCAGGTGCTGCGTCTTGAAATAAAATGAAAAAAGGAATGGTCTATGATCATGTCTTAAGTTCCCTTTTGAGAACCACGCCATTGTAATCAGAAATTGGAACTACTGTATCAGGTTCCATGAAGTGTAGTTACCAAATTGGTAGTGATTATATTCAAACCCAGTTAACCTTGTAAACAGAGGGCACGAAATGAGATGGTCATCCATCCATCCATCGTCAACTGCTTATCCCGCATACAGGGTCGCGGGGGGCTGGAGCCAATCCCAGCTGACATTGGGCGAAAGGCGGGGTACACTCTGCACAGGTCACCAGTCCATCGCAGGGCAAATGAGATGGTCATCTTAGTCGCAACTCTAATAGTCAAAAAATGTGATGGAAAAAAAACAAGACTTTTAGCACAGTTTAGCTAAAAAAAAAACTCATGTAGGACACAGGGCACTTAGTCCACCTGTTTTAACTACTTGTTTGCACACTGTTTGCAAAATGCATCGTACCAGTTATTCTCTATGTAGCTTTCAACCATTCAACCCGCCACACACTTAGTATTGCACTTAAAATCCTTATTATTTAATCTAATAACCCACAAACATGAGACTTATAAAGTGTGTATTGACCCCAGATCCTCACCAATATCCATTTACTGATTATCATAAAAATAAAATGTTTCATTCAAATGATCACAGTGATCACTTAAACTGCTTTACTCACCTATACTTTAAGGTAAATCCCTCAATCGAAATACCTAATTATGTCCATGGTTCGCAGGAAAATCAATTACGTAAGATCTAGAACACAAAACAAACTGAGAAAAGTAAAAGTGGAGTAAAAGTTTTGTCTTTTACATAAAGGGAGTCAATATAACTTATATGCTGTACATGTTATTTGTTCCGTATCAAAAGATAAAATTTTACTCCCCACATTATCACCTTCTCCAAGACAACTGCAAAGTGACAACTGCTTGTGTTTTCTGCTTTTTTCTCTGTAATGTTGCACTACTGCACTATTTTACCAATGTAAGAGCACACCTGATATAAGAAACACTCACTGCAATGGCTCTTACCTCTGCTTAACAGTAAGATCAGTATGCCATTTTTAAATTTAATTTACAGTTTAATAATGCTGGATCATCATTTTGAAAGTGTTGAAAGTGTTTTTATCCAGGGTTAGTACATAAACAAACACTGCAACACTACAGCTAATGATCATCTAGTTCAGAGTAGATCTGTCTTGTATCCAGATTGTGTCTAGCTCCACTTCAGACAGACTTCAGTTCACACCGGGCATCAAAATGCACCCAATAGCAGCTTGTAACCACTTGTGATTAAGTTCTCAGCTCAGTTTGGATTTCATCAAAGATGAAACAACAATTGGTGCTACTCACAAGGCCATACATACAGACAGAAAAGAGGATCATGGGAAGTATTTGGTACCCTTTTCCAGCACTAAATCTATCGTAAGGCAAAAGCACAGGCAAATCAACTGTGTTTTGAAGATTTGTTGTGCTATATGCCTATCCACACTACACATTAGAAAGTGATCTTGGATCAATGTGTTTATTTGTATATAAAAAAGGGCAAAGAAGACTACATTTGTAGAAAAAGTACAGAACTGCAGAAATATGTAAAGAAGACTACAGAATCCATTTTGCCTACACTGTCTGACCACAATCGCCCCGTACCAGTGTCTTTAATAATAAAATGATACTTGACAAATCCCAGTAGGGAAATTCTCTATTCCCTTGCTTCTGTCTACGCGGAGGCCAGAGTTCAAGGTTAGCTCACAGCAGCACCTCTAGGTTCAGGTAGAGATTCAGTGACTTGCTTAAGAACTTAAACAAGGCTGTTTTTTGCTGAGAAAGTGACTTTTATATTACTGTGTGTATTGTAGCTGTCAGTTTGCTCAAGAATTTGAAGTATTCTGACCTGATAAGGTGTCCTTCAACACATCTAGGGCTTCAAAACAGCTTTTAATCCACAGGTTGTTGGATGTTCTATCATGGCAATGATTTTATTTTGAATTGGTTTCTTGCAGTTTCATGTGTGAAATATTGTCATTGCAGCATTTCTGTTCCTCCACTGGAGTTCTATCGTTAGTTATGTCGGGAATTTAGTGTACAAATTTTCTGTATTAGAAACAGCACACAGCCATTACACTGCAGTCAAAGCAGGTTGTGTTGTTTGGCTTGGTCTGCACTTACGTGACGTTCTCAATGGATCAACAACAGCTTTCGTGAGAAAACACTCTCTGTCTGTACATGCTCGCAAGTGAGTGTACCATTTTTATGGATTCACTCCATTCTGAGGAGTGAGGAGAAGAGAATTGATTTCTTGTTTATTTGAAGTTTGCTTAAATCTACAAAGTATCCAAGCAAACAACAAGAAACTATTAAAGTGTAGCTGAAGTAGAGCGGCCATGATACATGGACCATATATTGAATACTAAGCAAAGAAGAGCTGAAACCAGAGAGAAGGGTTCAGTTGTATTCAAGAAAATGTGGGACTCTCCTTTGTTCCATTTGAATGTATACAATATGCACAGTTAATGCATTTGTGTGGGCTATATCCTTGAACTATAAACCGTCATGGTGTGACGGTTCTATTACATTTCAAGAAGGAGGAAAGGCGCTGTGTAGAGTAAAGAAATGACGTTTTTTGATGTGTGTGGCATGGAGGAACAATGTTGAAGGCCATTGCTGCAGGCGAGCATACAAATCAGAAGACATCGCAGAACATTAAATACGTCCCCTAGGTTACAACAAACAAAACACAAAAAGATACTCTTTCAGAAGTTATCAAAAAAAAAGAAGAAGTAAATCCCTGACCCTGATCACGGTCGCAGAACTAAATTGAAAGGTTGAAGAAATGGCCGCAGAGTAGCAAACATCTTCAGTCTCCTTTGCCGAAGATAAAAATGCCACAAATTTTCATACAGCTTAATATTAACACATTTATGTTGTCCTCCACAATGACATTCCTCTTTTCACCCCAATTAGATTTAATACGAAGTTAAAAGAAAAGAGGATAGAGGGTCACTGTTCACTTTCTTTGTGTAGGAGTTTTCGAAGGTGTTCTTTAGTGTGGAGCCATTGCTTTTAGTGAACTTCTCGTATTGCTCTTGAAGCAAAAAATTAAAAAGACTGAATTGCACGGGTAGTTCAAAAGAACATATTGAAACCAACTCCAATGCACTGAAGCCCTGTTGTGACCTTCATCAGGGAGGAGCAAACCTTCATTCATTCCTCATGCACTTTGATATGCTACTCCCTAAAAAAGACCACTGCAGGGCCAGTACAATTCATAGGTTCAAAAAGCACTTGAGTAATTTTTGGGGAATTGGAATACAGAGCCAGTGCCCTGTTTGCGCTGTTCTTGACCATATCTCATGATTTCAAGATTTGAGTCATGTATAAGGATGAACTGGAGTCAATTGATTTTTTTGCAGGATTGTAGGGGGGAAAAACAGAGGTAAAGGATTCTGAGGTCATGTCAATACTTATTACAAATTTGTACAGTGTAGGTGAAGAGGGTGGACAAGAACAGGACAACAAAGGAGGTGATGGTGAAAAATGATGTGTTGTATTCTCAAACAGTGGTGTGAAAAAAAGAAATTAGTTCAGTGTGAGTGTTAAGGTGCAAGTGAAAAAAAAAGAGTATAGCCTACATTATCAGAATCATAGCAAACACCTGACAGACACAGACAGTGCAGGATGTGGCCAAATTCTACATTAACGTAAAAGAGGACTGTGGTACTACAGTATGTTAATTAAAGGTCAAAGTGTGCATGGAGATGTCGACATGTTTTGGCTCTCAGTTTAGCAAAAATTTGCTAAAACAAATACAAAAACATTTTAAAGATTGGCAGAAGATGGCAGCGTTCAAAAATCATCATGATATTGTAATTTAAGTGAATTATACAAATTAAATACAAATGTTTTTTCCACATTTCTTTTTGTTAAGGAAATTACATTTAGGATTATCTGTTGCTACAAGTTGCCATATGTTGCTATATGCTTTGTGTTGGGAAATACAAATAACTGAGTTGCCTGGAAAATAAATGAAATCCTAGCTCTTGATAAACAGAGGAAACAAGTAAAAGAACTCCTGGATGGCAGGAGTCTGGGAAGTAAGAGCATTTTGCTTCTATAAATGTTAGTGGTTACTTTTATTCATCTCATTAGCCTTTGATGCTCAAAACCCTCTTGTCTATACCTATTGTATCAATTTAAATGCATACCACTTAATAACTTGTAGACTAAATATCTTCCTCTTTTCCAAAACTAATTTTTGAAAGGATAATCCTATTTTTTATTCAGTAACAATTGTCCTCTAACCTTGAACAACAAACCGATGCACATGAAAGGTGGGTATTTTGAGAGATTTTCTCTTTCCTGCAATATGAAAGAGTCTCTTTTATCTAAGAAAGAAATAGGGGCTACCACACAAGGGGAATTTTGGTACAATTTGGTGCACAATGCTTTCCCTTAAGGATTATCCTGCGGTGTGCCAGTAACAAGGCCATCTTTAATCGGAAAGATTTTTGGATCCATTAAGGCCATATTGTGTGTATTGCACTACAATAGATTCTGAAAAGAGGGACAATGAAAGAAGCAATCAAGTACAGAGAGGAGAGGAATAAGCAACAGGGAGTGCAGGGCTGTTCCATCAGAAAAACATTTCAGCAATTCAGACCAGAACATGGAGAGCCCTTTTCCTTTTTCAGCTTGAGACTCTCTCATAAACCTGCGGACCTCCTTGAAAATTAAATGCTACAACATCTGATGTATGAAACCAAAGGTCACGCAGTGGCAGTAGTTGAGCTACAACACAAAACTGAAAGAGGAAACAGATTTGAATATCCGTCATGTTCTTCATATTATGCTACATCAGCCAACAGCACAATCAGTTGCTTTAAGAACATCCTCATGTCTGACAAGTGTACAACTGTAACTGACAAGACGACAATGAATA